GACTCATCCCGAAAGCAGGAAAGAACCATACCCAAGCAGAGAACTACAGACCTATCTCACTACTGGAAACACCCGGTAAAATATTGGAAAAAATAGTCAACCACAGACTCAGAAATTTTCTAGACCAAGAAAACAAATATAACCCGAGACAGCACGGCTTTCGGAAAAATCGAGGAACCAACACAGCAATAGCACTAATATACGAATCAATTGCAAATGCTGCAAGCAACAGAGACCAATGCAATATAATTCTAAGAGATGTGTCAAAAGCATTTGATAAAGTCTGGCATGAAGGACTGAAGTTGAAAATAATCAAATTGGACATGCCTACCAATATCACAACACTACTATGCAATTTCTTAGACAACAGAAAGGCCAAATTAATCATCGACAACCATCTAGGACAAACTTTCAACCTTCATAGTGGAGTTCCCCAAGGCAGTAATATATCGCCGACATTATACACTGTATACACAGCAGATATGCCGCAACCACGGCAATCAGAATATATAGCATACGCTGATGCTGCCACACAGACAGCCAGGTACCCAGGAAAATCCAAACAAATGATGGCCATTAGAACAAGCAGAGAAATAGAGATAATAAACAACTATGAACGAAAATGGAAGATAAAAACCAATGTCCAAAAACTCAAAATAATTAACATCGCAAAAACAAACCCCTACCTTATTATTGTCAACAACCAACAAATACCATATGCTGCCAACGGAAAAATATTAGGACTCAAGATAACCAGAAACGGAATAATCCCCCACATCAACGAAAGAATAGCTATGGCAAAATCACAAATTACAAAGCTCAGAAGATTCCGCCAATTAAACACCAACACGTAATTGCACCTATACAAAGCACTGATCAGACCACACTTAGAATACCCTCCGATACCTCTGAACACAATCGCAAGAACAAACAAACTTAAATTTCAAGCAGTGCAAAATATAGCCCTTCAGAAGAGCGGCAAAACACCAACCACCATACACACAAACAGTACAAGACATACACACACAACACGGCATAGACCCACTCAACACCAGAACACGGCATAGACCCACTCAACACCAGAACACGGCATAGACCCACTCAACACCAGAACACGGCATAGACCCACTCAACACCAGAACACGGCATAGACCCACTCAACACCAGAATACACACCCAAGCAAATGCAATATGGGAAAAAATCCAGCAAGAACAGGATCCCATACTAAACCAACTAATTGAGGAAAACAACAACACATCACACAGATGGTGGCCTAGAAGAAGAAAAAATGATAACGAAGAACCAGAGCCTCTATATACACAATAAAAAAGAACCAAAAGATGGGCACAACTCTCCAGTCACACAAGGACCTGGAGGGACCCCACAAATAAACAAAGACCTAAATAGTTCACAAACACCCACAATAAAAAACTAAAACGAAAAAGATGGGGATCATCCCTCCAGTGCCACAAGGACCTGGAGGGACCCCCCCCCCTATCATAATATGCCCCAAGGAAACATCAAATAGAACAACTTAGCTTAGCTTGGCTGAGACCGGCCTTCCCTAACCGCATGAGTCCTCTAATGCAGCACTGTTGACGGAAGACAAAAAACCCGTCTCCGCAAGGTGGATAGCCCACCTGCTGTTAACCTCCTCCTCTATTTCCCACTTCTGAACTTTACCTTGTACTGTACCCTTCTTGCACCCTCAGAGCAAATGCTCTCTTCTCTCCGTATCACCGACCGACCTGAAGAGGATTCTACTCAACGCTCTCAAACACACAAGACTTCCTCTCAACAAGCTCCTCACCACACAGCAACTCCCCAGCACTGCATTGTATATATATATATATATATATATATATATATATATATATATATATATATATATATATATATATATATATATATATATATATATATATATATAACGCCATGGTGAGTTTCCCTTCTCACCTTCATCCTTAGTGCGAGATCTTCTACATGTTCGTATGTATGCAGATCTGTGCAGCATCTCTGAATGGGGAGGTACAAACTTGGTTAAGTTCAATAGTAATAAAACTCAACCATTTCCTCCAATATGTCCTGGAAATCACACATCCTTCATATAGCTAAAGCTGCCTCCCGAAAGTTGGGAATGCTGTACAGATGCTGTAGCTACTTCACTCCTGAGCAGTTGCTCCAAGTATATAAGGGATTCATTCGTCCTAACTTGGAGTACTGCTCTCATATCTGGGGTGGCTCTTCTCCTGTCCAACTATTAGATAGGGTGGAATCAAAGGCATTTCGTCTTATTAACTCTCCTCCTTTAGTCGTCAATCTCTCTTCCCTTTCTCTTCGCCGCAATGTTGCTTCACTCTCTCTCTTTTACAGGTACTTTAATGGGCAATGTTCGGTGGATTTGGCATCCTGTGTACCGCCGGCAAGGCCGTGGGCTCGTAGCACACGTCTTGCCCGCGGTGCCCACCGTTTCTCTGTGGATAACGCGAGAATAACCCGTACCTCCTTCTTTCCTCACACAGCCCAACTGTGGAATGCTCTGCCTTCTTCTGTGTTTCCATACTTATACAATCTGTCTCACTTTAAAAAGCTGGTTTTCCGGCATCTTCGTGGTGTAGATTAATACAGTATAACATTTTTCTTCTCTATTTTCAATTTATTTCTGGTTTTTTTCCGTTCCCCAGGCCCCGTTGTGGGTCGTTTGACCTGTGCCCGGGTGGGCTAATTCCCGTAAAAAAAAAAAAAAGTGAGCCTAACAAAGAGAGATTTGACAACTGGCCACATACACTACGCCATATGTTCACACAATTTCATATATAAAAAAATGGACAGGGAATAGCCGTTCACACTGCCACACCGGATTATGTCGTTACCTGCAACGGGTTATCCGCACATTCTTGATGTTGGTGCACGTGGCAAAATTATTCCGCACTGTGATGTATAGAACTAGAGGGAACATTGCTAGGAGGGGGGGGGGTAGGTTACGTTAAGTTAGCATTGAAATAAGTTGGGACTTGATCCGTTCTATAAAGAAAATGGAGTTGCTGAAACTGTAAATGGAAAATAAAGTTTCTAGTGAGTATTTCTGTGTGTTTTCAGTTATTTTTATATGTTTGGTAATTGTAACCTGCTGCTTTCTGTGTAGCTCTTTCTGTTCTAACAGTTCGCGATTTACTTAGATTGCGCTGTGATGTTTCCTTGTGGGATGTGTCTATTGCATTTTCTCCCTCATTATCAGTTATTTATCAAAGGGGTTTAATATGTTCATTGAAGTTATCAAGACCTGTGGAGTATTTTCATTTCGCATCAGAGGACCAACTGTCAAATTAGAATCTGGTGCCATAACATTAACTATCAAATGTTATCTGGTGTCGTAACATTAACTGTCAAGTGTTACCTGGTGTCATAACGTTTACTGTCAAGTATTATCTGATGTCGTAACGTTAACTGTCAAGTGTTATCTGGTGTCATAACGTTTATTGTCAAGTGTTATCTGGTGTTATAACGTTTATTGTCAAGTGTTATCTGGTGTCATAACGTTTATTGTCAAGTGTTATCTGGTGTCATAACGTTTATTGTCAAGTGTTATCTGGTGTCATATCGTTTATTGTCAAGTGTTATCTGGTGTCATATCGTTTATTGTCAAGTGTTATCTGGTGTCATAACGTTTATTGTCAAGTGTTATCTGGTGTCATATCGTTTATTGTCAAGTGTTATCTGGTGTCATATCGTTTATTGTCAAGTGTTATCTGGTGTCATAACGTTTATTGTCAAGTGTTATCTGGTGTCATATCGTTTATTGTCAAGTGTTATCTGGTGTCATAACGTTTACTGTCTACTGTTTTCTGTGTTATACAAGTGTGTGTGTGTGTGTGTGTGTGTGTGTGTGTGCGCAAGTATTACAGCGGGAAAATTATGCACTCGTCCATGCCTGTAGTTGCATCCAACAATGAATCATAATACGTGAATGTCCACTGTCATATATTTATTGTAATAGTTTTACCATTGGCACAGGTCATTGACCCACATCGGGGCCTGGGAGCGAAAATATAATAATAATAATAAAATAGTAAAGGACACTTAACAAATGTACGGATCCTACTGTATATTCCTTTTCCTTATGACAAATTCAGTTCATTTCATTCACCATTATAGGATAAACTAATGGTACTGTACTCCAAGGATTAGGACTGTATTATAGTAATTTCTGTACTCTGCTTTGGCAAACTTCACAGTGTTTTTCATGTCATTATCATTTAGAATTAAAATCCAGAATATTATGGAAGCAAACAATTTTAGAATATACTTGTCATCTTTATTATAAAACCGATATATTTATAAACAACATGATTTACAAAGTAAAGATTGTCATATAAATTTGTTGCATAACTTAATTTTTTTTCGTAATTTATAGGTTATTAATAAGCGTAAATAACAAATCAAGTAATTAACGGTATTCAGTTCATTCATAAATGTGGTGAAAGAATGCCGATCACTTATGTGGCCACTACGCAGTATAATTCGCCTGATTAACATTGTTAAATATAGAAAATATAATCAATAAGTCATAAAACAGTAGACTTACTGCTTTACAGTGACGCAAAAGTTTTCTGTAAAATTGAACAACTTAAATAATTCGTTCACAATCACAAACAGATTTAATGATAAACCAAAAGCGACAATTTCATTTTGCGTCTTGTAAAGTCAATTTAAAGCAAGTTAATAAGAGATGACTTTCAAGTATTCAGAGTTCTTATTGAAAAATCATTGATGTTTCTAGATCATATATTATTATTTACGTTAATTACAATGACAAGAAATTCCTTGCCACTTTGTCAAGACTAGAATCATGACAACAATCGGTATTACAACTTTTTTGAAAATAGGTATCAAGCTTATTATAGAGAATATAAATCTCTCAAACACCAAAATCTAATCGTTAAAGGTATAAGTAGATGCGACTTTGTTTCTCGGTGTGCGCCATCTATAGGCCGGCCGTACCGTATACTCGGAGTGTTCATAGTCTGTGATTCTGCACTAGTGAATGGAGATACCGACACCCAAAATTCACTTTCGTAGATTGCTCAGTTAAATAAGTAAGTAAATGAATATAGTATTTATTCCTTCCTAAGTCATCCAAGAATAGAGAATCGGTTAATTTATGAACATAGGGCTTCTGGTTATCTGGTAAATGTTCAAAAACTAATCGCATATCCAGTCGCCATTTTGATAATTTTTGGACCCCTCCTTCTGTCAGCTGTCCTGTGTGTTAAATTGTATCTGTTGTATCACCTATTATATCTAAGTTAAATACTCTACGTAGAGGTATTCATTAGGTATTTATCTTTATTGTTCTATCGTTTTGGAGTGGAAACATGACAGTAGGAGCTTACGATGAGTTGAAGTTTTGAAGTTATCCTTTGTAGAAGCTGGAGCAGATCGTCTAGATATTTTCATTATTTATATACTACATGGGTTCTTTGGTGATTTACAGAGACAGCTCCATGTGTTAAATTCAACATTTTCCGTAAGATATGTGATAGGTAAGGTCATGTGACTTCAAGACATGGAAAAAACTTGCTTGAAAGGAAAATTTTATTTTGAAGTCCACACCCAGAGTATATTACTCACTATGCGAAGTGGATTTTTTTTTTTAAATGAAGATTATCGGTGATTTTTGAGAACTTATGTATAGCAGAGGCTCTAACGTATTTTGTTTAAACTGGACAAGAAATTAATGAGAATTTACTGGATATTTTTGATTGAGCTGCTGTTTGCATTGCACCATCACCTTGAAAAAGTTTGATCACTAAGTCCATGTATTAATTTATGTTGTGGTTCTTTGGTTTATTTATTTATTTTTTGGAGTTTGTTGATAAATAAAGTTGGGATATTTAGCTGTGCATCCCACTATTTGGACTGTCCATTATACATTGTGTCATATTAGTGTTATGTGCACTAGAAGCCATGTTTGGCAGCTGCCTTTCTATAAAAAAAACATTAAATGGCTTCATTATAAAGAAGTAAAAGTACTACTGAAGCTTGATGCTTTTTCAGGTAAACTAAGTCGTTTTTGAAGACATTACATAGAATTGTAAGTGGTTGTTTACCTAAGTAACATTGACGAGATTTACATTTGTTGAGAACTTCTCATTAGTTTCTTCATGCTAAAAGGAGACATAATTCACCAATTTTAATTTGTTAACATAGCTACTAAAGAATTGGAGGCACTTAAACACTGGCGTTTAGGGGAAAAGATATACCGGTATTTTAGTGACGTTTTGATTTCATTCGTAGAATCTTTCACTTTTTAGTTCCTGAAAACGAAGTGCTTGTTCGGCGTATGGGGAAAAAGAGAGAAAATATTCCAAAACTGAATACATATACTATATTTATTTGACTCCAACCCATAGAGAATCGTCTTCTCTTTACAGTTGTTATACTGTACCAGTATATAGCATCAACCCTACTACAGATAACCAAAAAATCTTATACAGGTATTCCCCGACTTACGACAGGGCTACGTTTGTGGACCCTGACCATAGGTCGATTTGTTCATAAGTCAGAACAGTGATAATTCCAAAGATTAGATTAGATTAAAGCACAACCCAGCATATAAAAAAAAAATATCCCATACATAACAAATAATGTAAATTAAGTGATTTTAAACAATATAGAATAATGAAAAAAAGGGGGATTTTAATCACAGTTTTTTGCAATTAATGTATTGGTATCCCGTTTGTAAGTGCGGATGATCGTATGTCGGACGGTCGTAACTCGGGGACTGTCTATATTTAAGTCAAGTTAGTTTAGGTTTGTTGATTGGTTTTATTTGTGATAGTTGACATGTCAGAAGTCTGTTGAAGAGTACCAGTACTGGATTACATCAACCCCCCCCCCTTTTTTTCTAGATAATTTACATGCTTATTTCTCATCTGATATTAAGAAAAAAGCATCTAGGTCTGTCTCTTCCATTTCAAACTATGAAGCCTGTATTCATATCCTTGTAAGACATGAGGTATGTACTCTACATATATGAAATGTTGAGAATTCTTGTAACAGCCATGTTGACAAAGTGGTTATGTAATGCATTGGAATCGTATTCCAGAAGGGATCCGATCCTTAATTGTCATTTTACGTATGGTATCCTGTGTATCATATGTTTTAGGATTTGTGTGGATTGTAAATAAAGTACTGTACTGTACTGGTGAAGAAGATAAATGAAAGGAAAAGTAATCAGAGATGTGACCGATCGCCCAAGTGGCTAACAAGCCGATCAGTGACGAAGAGGATAAAAGTAAAAGTATGGATGGCTATACTGTAGTCGAGCCCTTCTGCCTCAACTTGACTTGTAGGAAACATGGTAGACTAAACCACATAACTCCTGTTATTCTTTTTATAGAAGGAAAGTTATTTTACCTATGTATAGCCTTATACTTTTGCTTAATCTGATGTTTAAATTAAAAAGAAGAAGAAGAAAGGCAGTAACAACTTTCAATGAGAAATGCTTACCTGGTGAACAGTAATGGTTTTGTTAACATGAGTTCATCATGGGGGCTGAGTCATAATACACTTCCTTTAAAGCTTCAAAATGGAGCAGCTACAACTAACGTAATTTACATATATCTGAGATTGTAAGTAAGATAGGTTGGGTTTTATTACCACTGTTGGCAGTACAGTACAGGTACAGTATTCAAGTTTAGGTGGGGATGACCATCACCAGTGTTTTGTTCCTGCAAAATTCTGACTTTGTTCAGTAGTGATGCTTTTTGAGTTGGCAAAGCCTGCTATGGGCATGTAGACAATGGCTCTCTTGCCATCTCACATTTGAGTGATAATTTGTTCAAAGTAATTATTTACCGGTTTGCTCGGCTGAATGATCATCTCCAATATGACCGGGACCCAGGGGGATTATGTATAATTTTAATGGGATTCTGGTCAGGGCGGCTGTCGGCATTACCGTACTCTAGTCATTACACTTATTTAAATGCTGACTGCTGTATCACTACCTCCTTTAATCGTCTGAGATGTCCCACTTCTCTCCTGGACATATATAAAGTAGGTTAGGTTAAGTTAGGTCAGATCAAAAAATTTTTAAGTCTATACCTGATACCTAACAGTATAGTATCATATCTGTTAAACATTGAGGTGTTAGTTTTCTTAACAAATTTATTTAAATTTTAATCTAATTTTATCATCCTTGTGTCCTTAATTTTGATGTATTATTTCTGTTTGATCGAATTTTTAATACAGGACTAGTTTGAAATTATAAATATAGTAAAGTAATATATTGGTATAGAATTTTCTGTGGCCAGAAGTAACTGTAGGTACTTAAATTTATTTTATATCCTGGCCGAATAACCAGTGGTTACTCTGCTGGATACCAGTCAACTAACCCCTGCCTAATTTGTTTTCATTTACTGCAGCTGTAAACAGCTTTATTTAATGAAAATGAGTCGGCCACTTCCTGTAGTTTGATGGATAATAACCGGTACCTGTATATGATTGTTTTTGTAAGTGGTATGTATACAGTTCTGTAATGTACTCCCCAAAAAAGAGAGTTGGTATAGTTAGATAGTTGTTTCAACAATATAAGACTTGGAATGATGAAGTGGGAGTAACACGGTTCCTCTGCCATGTTAATGTGTAAAATACTGTAGAAGCATTCTACAGTTCTGAAAATCCTCACGGATTAATCCTTAATCAGTGTGAGTGAGGCGGAAGAGGTAATTGACATAGGATTATTTAACCCCTGCAATACAGGGATGCCACTTATATTATTTTATTTGGTTAATGCCAAGCGATTTTATTCTGCATAAAGGGGATCCTGTACACAGGTGGTTAAACCTTAAGTTGCATGTGTTTATTTGGGTTAAGTTTTCTGTGTTCCGCAGTACAGTGTACTGTATGGGAAATTTTGTTGGGCTGTTAAAATTGTTAAGAAAGGTATTTGTGTAAGGCTTATTGATGGGGGAAGTTCAAGTTATGTAGAGGTGCTTATAACTACAGGGGTTAGGCCTTCCTGAGCATGAGTTGGATCTCAACCATATATTTTAGAGGGTTTTGAGTCAACAGATGAATTGAGCTAGTTTGTGTACATTCAGGAGTTTTATGATGCTTTGGCAGTTTGAATGAAAAGTGACTGTCTCTAGTTGAGAAATATTTTAGATTGTAGGCAGCCCTTTGGGATCTTTTCAGGATTATTAGTTTTATTAGATTTGATGTTTGGAATGGTTGGTGTCATGTGTTTAGATGAGTTACTCATGAAAGTCTGAAGGTATAATACCGAGTTTTCCAGTTGCAGCAGGTTTTATGGTAAGGTTTGAAAGGTAGCAAAAGTGTGGCCATTTCCTATACCACAAAAAGACCTCTCTGATGTATTGAATTATTATCCCAAAGCATTGATTATTTAACTGTATTTTGTAAGCTGCTTTAGAAGATAGTCAGTGAGATATTGGTTTGGTTATTGGAGCTAAGCAAGTTCATCCTGTGCCAATATAGTTCCCAAATGATGCTTTCTACTATTGATGCCTTGATTCGATTTGAGTTTCCATTACATTTGGTTTTTGCATCTAAATGGCACCATGTAATTGTTTCTTTGACCTTGAAAAGGCCTGTGATACTGCTTGGAAGCACAGGATCTCTAAATGTCTCCATGGATTTAGGTACGGTAACAAGGGAAGAAGTCATTCCTCACCGATTGTACGTTTAGGCGGGGAATACTTATTTCATGCTGAAGAGCCAGGAGTAGGATGCTGCTATGGGATAGCTAGTGTGCTTTCTGCTAATTTGTTTACAAGTTTCTTCAGTGGTGTTGTGGACAGTCTCCTTTTGGATGCCCTCAGCTTCTTTCACTGCTCCTTTAATTTTGATGACAGCCACTTTCAGTTGTCATTATCCTTGTGGGTAGGGGGATTTTAGTTTGTCTCCCCTGAAAACTTGTTTGTAAGAGAGGAGTACATGCAGATCCTGACCAACTTTTATATGGATACAAGATTTTTTAGTTGGAAACCTGTTTCCTTGGACTGATCATTGAAAACTTGCATACCTTTCCTATTTCAAGACTTGATGTCCCTACACACTAAATGTTCAAGTG